TACACCCATATTATTGCCTACTGTCACCTTAGAAATAGCAGATGTTCATGGTCAATTTCAAAGAGCACGAGCCCTATTGGATTGTGGCAGTATGGTAACATTAATTACTCAGCGCATGGCTCGAACTTTACAACTACCACTAAAGAATACTTCTTTACAAATTTCGGGAGTGGGAAATCAGCGCACACAGTACTCCAAGGCATCAATCAAAATTGTATGTCGACCCACTCATAGCGAAACACCTACGATAACGGCTACAGCTCATATTTTAAAGCATGTTACCGGCTATCTGCCTCTAGGGAAGGTACAGGATATATCACATATGGTAGACCAGTCAACGATCCCCTTAGCTGATCAAGGATACACCATCTCCGATCGATCTGTTGTTAGGCTCGGATATCCTCGGACAGGTTTTAGATGGGACTAAAGTCTCATTGGGGCCCGGCAGGCCAATAGCCTTCGGCACGATATTTGATTTTACATTGTTAGGACCCATACACGATTTGTATACTGCTCCCGTAAGCAAAACTGAATCGGCTCACATTGTCAGCGCACAACCAGAACTCGAGGTATCTACACATGACATTCGCAAGAGCCTTGAGAAGTTCTGGGAATCTGAAGAGCCCCAACTTCATGTTGAAACTACCTGTGAAGAAATATTCCGCACTACCACTACTCGTAAACCCTCAGGTCAATATACGGTAACTTTACCCTTTTTACATAATATGCCCGAGTTAGGAAGTACCCATGCCATAGCATTGCGTAGGTTTCTTAATCTTGAAAAGAAGTTACAAGCTGACCCATATCTCCGTGTGAAATACATTGATTTCATGGCAGATTATCAGAAGCTGGGTCACATGTCCCCATGCCACCCGAGTACTTTTGCTCATAAGCCTCACTTCTATATCCCTCATCATGGTATCTTCAAGTCGGGATCAGACAAGCTACGCACTGTTTTTGATGGTAGCTGTAAAAGCTCAAATGGTGTCAGCCTAAATGACTGTTTACACACTGGTCCAGCTCTTCAACAGGACATTGTCGATATTATCTTGTCGTTTAGAACTCATCCCGTAGTTTTCAGCACTGACATTTGTATGATGTTCAGAAACATACTCATACATCCCGATCAGAGGCGTTACCAGCTCATTCTCTGGCGCTCTTCGCCAGATCAGCCCCTGCTTACATATGCCTTAAACACTGTTACATACGGGTTACGATCAAGCCCATATCATGCTATACGCACTTTAATCCAATTAGCGGATGATGAGGGTCATCGCTATCCTGCAGCTGCTCAAGTCCTGCGCAAGTCCATGTTCGTCGATGATATTCTCACTGGTCACGATTCTGTAGTGGGGGCTCAGGCTCTCCAAAACGACTTGATTAACTTACTAGCCTTGGGTGGTTTTCAGCTCAGTAAATGGGCCTCAAACTGCCCTCAGCTTCTTGAAAGATTTCCCGATGATCAGTGTGACATGCCCAAGGACTTTGACATTAGCCCAGACTCCAACTCCATAAAAGTATTAGGTATACAGTGGATTCCTCAATTGGATGAGTTAACTTATCGTATTTCTCTCCCCTCAATAAAACAAATTACCAAACGCTCAATCCTCAGCACAGTCGCCTCTCTTTATGACCCTAACGGTTGGGTTACTCCTGTTATCTTCCGCGCAAAGCTTCTCCTACAGAAGCTGTGGCTTCTAAAGTTAGAATGGGACGAACACACCCCTGTTGAAGTGCAGACAGAATGGAACCGCATATCACAGGATCTGCCCCAATTGTCAACCCTTCGTTTGCCTCGCCTTATTTGTACAAACAAACTTAAGTCTACTTACTCGCTTCACGGGTTCGCAGACGCCTCAGAGGCAGGTTTTGCTGCCGTTATTTATCTCCATGAACTCGATGAGCACAGATGTGTCAACGTATACCTCGTAATTGCTAAATCACGAGTCGCACCCGTTAAAAATCGTCTTACCATCCCCAAGATGGAGTTATCTGCTGCAAGTCTCTTAACACAGCTTATGATACGTGTCTCGACTCAATTGTTGTCCCATATTACTATAAAGCAACACATATGCTGGTCAGACAGTACCATTGTCCTAGCATGGCTAAAGACACCTCCTCATAGACTTCAGGTCTTTGAAGCTAACAAGGTTGCCAAGATAACATCCAATCCAATCACCTCCACATGGAAACATGTTCCTACAAACCTGAACCCTGCAGACTGTGCAAGCAGGGGAATGTCTGCCCAGTCACTATCAGCTCATGATCTTTGGTAGTCTCCTAGCTGGCTGAAGGAGCCTCCTTCCACCTGGCCCAAAATGCCTCCTGCTCTGGGCCACCATGCACTACCAGGTCTGAAGCCCAAGAAAGTACCAGCTCATATAGCAGTTCCTGACCTCGACCTTGACTTGCTTACTCGATTCAGTTCTCTCGACAAGCTCGTTGGAGTGACAGCTTGCATAAAACGCTTTATTTTCAATTGTAGACACAACTTAACTGATAGGCGCTCTGGTCCCTTGACAGTTGGAGAACGTAGAGATGCTATGTTATTCTGGGTTCGCTCTGTTCAACACTATGAGTTTGCGGAAGATATTTACCGTCTTCAGGCAGGCAAGATTTGTACCGTTCGACTTCAGCGTCTTTCACTCTTGATGAAAGATGATCTCTTGAGAGTTGGTGGTCGCCTCACTCATGCGCCAATAAGATACGATGCTCAGCATCCTCTCGTTCTGCCCAGCTCTAGCCCACTAGTTGATCTCATCATAAACCACTATCACAGAATAAACTGTCATCCTGGGGCTGACACATTACACGCTATCCTCCGTCAGCGGTTCTGGATACTCTCAGCACGTCGTGTCATCAGGCATCGCGTGTACAAATGCATTAGATGTTTCCGATATCGCGCTCAGGCCAGAGCTCCGTTGATGGCTGATTTGCCCGCAGACAGGGTCACACCCCAGCCAGTATTTAGTCAGGTCTCAACAGATTTTGCTGGCCCGTTTCTCATTAAATCTAGCACTTTACGTAACGCCAAACTCATGAAGGCATACTTTTGTATCTTTGTTTGCTTATCTACCAAGGCGGTTCACTTGGAGCTCGTTTCGTCGCTCAGCACTGAAGCGTTTCTTGCTGTAATGCAACGGTTTGTATCGCGTCGCGGTACTCCTACTCTTGTCCGTTCTGACTGTGGCACAAATTATGTAGGAGCTGGGAATCATCTCATTGAGGTACAAGATTTTCTCGCGCAAAATAATGACACAATCACGCATGGGCTCGCTGATCGGCACATGGCTTGGCTGCTCCAACCGCCCACGGGACCTTGGTTCGGGGGCCTTCACGAAATTGCGGTCAAGAGCACTGGGAAGCTACTTTATCATGTTATAGGTGAACAGCACCTCACGTTTAAAGAATTTTCCACACTTTTAACTCGAGTCGAGGCAGTACTTAATTCCAGACCTCTCTGCCCACTTTCGTCAGATCCCTCCGATTTTGAGCCACTAACAGCTGGCCACTTTCTTATTGGCCGTCCACTCACCGCTCTCCCTGAGCCATCTTTTGTTGATAGGCCATTATCAGCTCTTAAGCGTTTTCAGCTCATCCAAGCTCTCTCTCAGCGTTTTTGGACTCTGTGGACCAAATCTTACCTCCATACCCTCTGGTTGCGCGCGGATTTAGTGATAGGATGCGTAATGAATTATTGGGATGGCGCCACCTTTGGAGTTTGTCAGTTACTAATTACCGCGAGCGTAATTTAATCCAAAGCGTGGTGTTAGCTCCCGATCGATAACGCTTCACCGCTAGCTGCCTAGATG